AGCAGTTATTTTTGCATTTGTTGATTGACTTCTGATCTCCACTGGAAAATGTATTAATGATAGTGTTTGCTGCTGTGGGCTACTGGTGACCTGTTTTCTCATATTTTCTTTTTCAGGAGGAGGCTGCATGTCGTAATAGAGAAGTTTGTTTCTAATTCTGCTGGCATTTTAACTACTGCTAGCAGTCTGCTGCAGCGATAGTCATAATCTTCCATTAATGGTCATCATCGAGTGATGGAATGATGAAAGCACTGGTCTACAAGTGTTGTTCAATACTTAGTGTAACAACAGAAAACCCAGGGAACAGCTAGTGTGTTCCAGCAAGGCTACTCATAGGCTCATTTGGGTAAGTACCAAGTCAGTACTGTCAATTCAGAAACTCCAGATGGGGCATGTTTGAATACATGTAGAATATGCAATTAAGCAGCCTTATAGTCATGCAGTTTTGTCAATGAAAATTTTGATCCATGGGTGGACTTGGAGGATACCCATCTGTCTCTGGGATTTGAGCCCAGAATGTTACCTATGAAATCTAAATCTATACCAGTTTAGAATTGGTCCTCATGCTTTTTTTTTTTATGTCCCGGTCCAATATTTGTCCATATTATATGCCCATGCTTTGTCACGCTGATTCGAGAATTCTCACGTATATAAGCGTTTCTATGTTTAAGACTCTTGCTTGGTCAGAATGCAGAATGCTGTTTTCTTTGCTAGGGGACTTCTTAGACAGAAAACAAAATATGAGCTTGGAAAGTAGAGAATACTCCTTCCAAGTGCTGCAAGGCACCAACAACAATCTTCATCTTAAACATATCTACACTAGTGTAGATGTACTCTATGAAATGTACTCTATACAGCATGGAGTAAATTAATCTTAGAGATACTGCAAAGTTGAATATAAATGTTCCCTTAGGTTCCTAGACTAAGTCTGGTGTGTTTTCCAGAGTGCAGGGTTTTATATAATCATTCCTGTAGCCTCATGTAGCTCTATAATCTTCTGTAAATTCTATGAGGTTCTGTAATCAGAGAAAGGTATCTTCCTCTGTTGTGACTAAACAGTAAATACAACTATTTTCAGAATTTTTTCAACATTATTGTGTTATTTTTATCTTCTGGTTGCGTTATTATTAGTGTTGTTTTATCACTAACCAGGCTAGATGTAAATCAATTCAGGTGTTGCCAAAAAATGTCTGAACCTTGTCAAAACCTTGTTTGGCTTCCAGTTTTAGTACTTAGCACTCCATGTTGGTGCAGGCCTCAGTCAGTTACGCAGTGTGAAAACAAATTCTGTCTCACACACCAAGCTGGCAAGACTCCAGAAGTTGGTGGTACTCTTTTTAAATCTCCAGAGATTCTCTTCCTCTTACTTACAGGTCTCCTAATACCTGCTCAACAGAGAGACTATAGATGAACCCACTTCTGTCACACTTCCATGGAAAGAAGAGAAGGACCTGCTGGTGATGACTTTTTTTTGTCTGACAACCTAATGGTTGACTTGTTTAATCAAGAATTAGTGGTTCAAATCCATCTCTATCCCAGGAGAGAATGCAGAAGTCTTGGGAGGTAAGCACTTCTTATTTCAAGTGAAGTCTTGCAGGTAGCATACTATGTGAAAAAATGGACTGATCCCCACTCCTCAATTTTAAAATAAAAGAGTGATCCTTATTCAGAACAGTGAAATGTTTGTCTCTGGATTTTGAATTCTGTTACCCCGTGTGGAAACTTTAGTGTTTTACTGCATGTGGTCGTATTTCCTTTTTTATGTCAGTGTGAGCAAGCAAGTTGCGTAACATTTTGTTTGGATAGTGTTAGCAGGGGAAAATGAAGATCGTGCATGGAGGGAAATGACCTTCATCAGGTTTCTGTTTCTTCTTCTGCTTAACATACTGCCCTGCTCCAAGATTTATTTATTGCTTTTCACTAGAAAAACAATGACAAGCCCAGAACTGTTGCAGTTGAAATGTTTGGTTAATCCACAAGATGCCTGCCTTAGCACATCTGCCACCATGATGTATTTTCCCATTCCTCTTGCAGATAACCATGTAATACATCATTTTAAAAATACCTGTCCTCTTCAAAGTCAAAAGGGATGAATCAATATGACTTGTCTGTTTCAAAAGTATTATATAAGAAATATAATTTTCTATCATAATAGTGTTGTCAATGAACATCTTGGAGATATGTCTGAGTTCTTTGACCAAGGCTTATGAAAAACTGTAGTCAATGGGGCATGAGACTTTTGTCTGAACTCTACAGCTTGACATACAAATGAGGTGTTGCATTCATAGCGACTAACTAACCATGCATGCACTCTTAGCTTAGGACATTTAAGTTATCTGACCAAGTTAACTGACCCAGAATGAAAGAGGTTTACAAGCCAAATACTTCATTCATAGAAATAAAAAAATAACTAGATTAAGTGTACGAAATGTAGAAGGAAAAATAAAATAAAACTTGACATTTCTGGTAACCAAAGAGATCAGGAAAAAAGAAAGGAAGCTGGTGGTTGGACTTATTGAAATGTTTCCTTGTGTGGAATTATAAGAAATTGTCTCTAATCTCTTCATACTGAAAGACAGAGTATGCTGGGAACAGATTTTAGTCTTGCAGTATAACTGTGAAGTTAAAGTCTGATGCTTTCATCTTGTTAGCCAAAGTACTGCAGTGGCTGGATATATGAAACAGTTTAGCCAGAGAACATCTCCTCTTTAGTGTCAGATTGATAGTTGATTACAGGCTTGAAGTTATTGGAAGGGAAGAATAGAAAGCACCACCAAACAATATTGGCCCTGCATTTTTTTTTGAATGGATGAACTTCTGTTTCATTCTAAATAGGTACAGGTAAAGTGATTTGAAATGTTTGATGTGAATTTGAACATGACTGGCTTTGCATTTCTTTCAAGGAAATTCTCCAAAAGCATAGCATTCACCAAAACAAGAAAAGTTGGAAGAAGGGGCTTGGGGAAAGAATGAGAGGAAAGAGAGAAATAGAAGCACATACAGAAGAGGATAAATCCTAAGAAAACTAGATACACTAACTATGCTAAACTCACTTTGTTTTTAGCTCTAGCACATGATACAAACTTTTATATAGCTTTCATGTAGAAAATTAATCTCGGAAAGAGTTAAAAGCCCCAAACTGCCCTAAATGTAGGAACTCCATTATCGTGGCCTGAATGAAGTCATGCCACTGCCGACTGCTAGAACTTAAATACAAACTGGAGTCAAAGGCAGCCAAGTGGTACGCCACAACTGATATCGCTAATGCATTCTTCTGAATCCCTTTGGCGGCAGAGTGCAGGCCACAGTTTGCTTTCACTTGGAGGGGCATCCAGTACACC